AAATGGAGAGCATTTAATCTGTAGGGGAAGGAAGGCGGGGTAGGGGTCGTCCTCGAAGGTTGGAAGGAAGGGGTAAGGGAGGTTTCGTGGGCGAGGGGACTTTGACTTCCAGCAGGCGTGCATGAGCATGTTCGATAGGAGGAATGGAGCACGATTGGTATTTGGGACCCTGACGATCTGTTGGAGTGTGCGTGAGCCAGGGTCAGGGTAATATTTAGTGAAGGGATTCAGGGAAACGGTATTTTTATATAGCCGGACTTAAGTCCTGGAATGGGAAAGTACAATGCCTGCACTCTAAAGGAGGGAGTTTGGGATATTAGCAGTTGGAGGGATATTTGTGTATCTTTATACATATATGCTTCTAAACTGTTGTGTTATGAGCACCTCTGCAAAAACAGTGATTATGTTGTGAGTGAGGTGAAAGTGTTGAATGATGTGATGAAAGTATTTTCTTTTTGGGGATTTTCTTTCTTTTTTTGGCGTCACCTGCTTCGGTGGGAGATGGACGACTTGTTGAAAAAAAAAAAACCTCTCAATCATTTTTTATAATCATCATAATAATAATAATAATCTGTATTTTCTACAAGTACAGCTTCCTCACATAACCCTTTGAGGGGTTTACGTCGTACTAGTACGTTTACGCGTAGGGGTTTTTTGACGTACTAGTACGCATAAATTCTAGCGGCCTCAAATCTCTCGCGGAAAGGCTGGGTAGGCCTAGGTGTGAGAGAATGGTTGCGTGGTCAGTGTGCGCGGTAGAAAAAAAATCATGGGACCAGTGGTGTCATTGTGGGATAATGCCCTCTTAGTAAACAATGTCCACCATGCCTCCGCGGTTAAGATGCTCTCACTCCTCGGCGAATTAGGGACAACTTTTGTTCCCCAGTGACCAGTTTCTAATAGTGATGGAAGTGCCTGTGGAAGATGAGGTTTCGTGGTTTTAGTTGAGGTTTTGACCGAAACTAATGACCATAATATCTGTCAATAAGTGAAGAAAAAACACAGACGACCCTCAGCCTTCACCTCTAGTGCTGGGCCCTCGTGTTCACGTTCGTTGTTCCAGAACCCAAGAGGAAACCTTCTATTTTCCCAATCCAGACTCAGATTGAGAGCATGGGGTGATGATAGTGATAGTGTATATGAACTACAAGTCTACAAACTAGTTCCAGTAGTGATTAGTGAACCAAGTGCAATATTCCCAGTGAAGCGTCAGTATATACGATGATATATGCGCTTCTGGAATGTGCCATATGTTATACCAAGGGAAGGGTGTTATCTCGGAGTACATCCCGTGGCTGTACAAACAGGAACAGACAGTGAAAATGACGAAGATACTGTTGCAATTGGGATGGAAAAATGGTGCGTGGTGGTAGTGGTGCCGGCGGTGAGGCACTCCAGCAGTGGCCATGCTGCCACCCACGCTGCCACCCTCGCCGCTGCCTCAGCTGATCTAGAAAAAGGCCACCAACCCCCACTCCCCCAACACCAGCCTCCACACCACAACACCTGTCATTGTCCAGTACCCACCAGCAGGACCGCACCTGGGATTGGCAGGAAGCTGTCAATTTTGTTCCAAATTCCCTACCAGTTTGATGGCAGCCAAAATGGAATACGTCCATCTTGTGCATTGGGAACAATGCACTGAACTGGAATGTTTCGAGTTATTCTTTGACGAACACTGATGAAAAGTATTGACATGGAAAGCACAAGACACATACTACGAGTACACCATGGGCAAACACAATACTTTCACCAAAATCACGTCTACACCAATGGAAGGAGTGCAACTGTGGCTGTAGATGTATCTTTTCTTTGCCACAATTAATGCTTATGGCCACATGTGTATAGCACAAAGTGAAATATATGGTCAACAGACCCCCTGATTGCAACACCCAGGTTTCAGTGTATAATTGCCAGTGAATCGATTTGTGCTAATGTTACGTATGCTTCACTTCTCAGATAAACAAGGCCTGACAGAACTGACAGGTTGTATAAGATTAGGATTGTGTTTGTGTATCTGCAAACAGAAATTCAGTACTCATTTTTATCCCTTCAGGAGCTTGTAATTGACGAGTCTTTGATTCTGTTCAAGGAGACTCTCTTTCAGCAGTACATACAAGCAAGAGGAAACGTTGGTATAAAGTTGTTTGTGCTTTGTGATTGTTACAGTGTTTGGTATTGGATATTATTGTGTACACTGGAAGTTATACATTGCAAATACCGCAGGAAGTTCATTGGGCATTCTCACAGGTGATGTGGTTAGAACAATGATAGAACCATACCTTGGTAAGGGGCATATGTTATATTACAGATAAACTGGTACACAAGGCCCTCACTCAGTGATTTATTGCGAGGTGAAACATGACAGATGTGGATGGCACAGTGCGTGCGGCAAATCGAAAACATAGCCCAGGTTTGATGCTGGCACTGCAGAGGTGAGGTGCAGGCGTTTGTGCCAATGACATCATTGGCATTTCGGTGGCATGACAAAACGAGATGTCACACTGTTGTCATCAATTCACCCTAATGAAATGGCAGACAGTGGCACGGCAGCATAGAGAGAGAAATGAACCCATTCTAAAACCTGCAGCTGTGATTGATTACCCTTCAACATGCGTTCAGTGGACAAATGTGACATGCAGATTGGGTTTGCTGTTTGTGTTCGCAAAGAGTTTAAGTTGGTACATCAACTGTTTTTCATCTTCTGGACATTTCCATGCTCAGCTTATAATATGTTTATAAGATGAGCACGAAACCAAACCACAGTACGGGAATTCTGTTTTGTCTGTCATTCAGACAAATAGTATTTCAAGTACCAAGGAAAATGCACTTGCAATTGACGCCCACAAATTATCAACAAACTACCTGCTCTCTGAAGGCATGGTGAATCACTTTCCTGGTAAAACTGCCTGCTATGCTTTAAGAAAAAAGGCTCAGAAGAGGTGTTACGTCTGTTCACATTACAAAAAAAAAAACGCCCACGACAACGCAGAGACACTTCGTTTTATGTGTGAGGAGTGCAAAACTCCACTGTGCATGACACCATGTTTCAAAGAGTTCCACAGGCTGCAGAACTTCTAGAAACAATGTTCCTGTGACTGTATATGTGTATATAAAATATAGAAAAATAGTAATAAACAACATCTTCTATTGTATTGTATGTGTAAATATTTTCTGTAAACAAAATAATGACAACAGTGTTTACGCCCTTATTGTGTAGTATTGAAAAGAAATAACTTACAAAATATGGATATGTTGGCCTCAGAAGGCCATAAAAGTTACTAGAAAAGGAAAAAAATTGAAAAAAAATTGAAAATAGTACATAAAAAAGTAAATAGAAAAAAATTACCGGGGTGACGGCAGTCGGCCGATGTTACCATATTTTGTTCAATTTTGGCAAATTTACACCTCCATTATCTCGGTAAGTATTGGACGTTAAAAATTTTTTTTGTTTAGCCTATAATGTTTAGAAAAAAAATTCTTATTTTTTCATAAGAAAAAATTCTTTTTTTTTTTTTTTCGGGCCCCCCCTGCCTTGGGGGGAATGGGGCCATGTGATAAAAAAAAAAAAAAAATATATAATAATTTATATATATTATATATATATATTATATATATATATATATATATATATAGGCAGTTTGGAGGGGTATGTTGTGTATCTTTATACGTATATGCTTCTAAACTGTTGTATTCTGAGCACCTCTGCAAAAGCAGTGATAATGTGTGAGTGTGGTGAAAGTGTTGAATGATGATGAAAGTATTTTCTTTTTGGGATTTTCTTCTTTTTTGGGTCACCCTGCCTCAGTGGGAGACGGCCGACTTGTTGAAAAAAAAATTATATATATATATATATAATATATATATATATATATATATATATATATATAATATATATATATATATATATATATATATATATATAATATATACACACCTACCATCCGACTTACGACCTGCTCGACTTACGACCACTCGACTTACGACAGTTCCATAGTCAGTTCCTGACTATGGAACTGAACTTCTCCAGGCCGAGGGACTGACAACCTCAAATTCTACGACTTTAAGGGTGATGGACTGATTACATCGTCTTCTCTACTGTTCCTGCCTACTTTCTGTATTCGACTGAAGAAGCCTACTGTGTAGGCGAAACGTTTCGGAATAAAGTTGCCTAACTGTTGCCTATGTGTCTTACCTACCAACCTGTCGGTATTGTATACCATTTTGATGTTCAACTATTTGTGTTGTACACATTGTTTATCCTAAACCTTACAGTATAAAATACAGTACTAACAACATAAAAAATAAAGTAAAACATGAAATACCAAAATAAAACAATAAAATAGTCATTACAAAAATGTTTTGATATTCACTAGTAAAGTTCGACTTACGACCATTTCGACTTACGACCGGTTTCTCGGAACCGAACTCGATCGTAAGTCGGATGGTAGGTGTATATATTTATGTATGTATGTATGTACAGTAGGACCCCTATATCCACAGGAAATGCATTCCAAGGACCTGCTGTGGATACTGAAGCTGCGGATAGTAGCACACCCTATATATAAGTCCTATACATGCCTATTATAAAGTTTAATTGATAAATTATACACAATAAGTGGAGAATTATCACTTTTTCACTGATGGGAAGCACTGAATGGCTTCTCTAAGGCTTTGTAGAACTGCCAGCATCTCTACTTTTGTATACTTTGGGGCCATTATTATGCAAAATTAAGAGGTATTTTTGGGCCACAGTAAACCATGGATAACTGAAACTGCAGATACCAAATCAGTGGATTACAGAGGTTCTATTGTTTATTTATTTCACAAATATTTAATCAGTTTTATATTTCAGAATTGGTTTGGAATGAGTTATTTATTATAATTAAGGTATCTTTGCAGGCACAGGTTGTGATAATGTTGAAAGTTATTAACAATGTACTGTTACTATACACTCAGAGCTTCTAGGCTACGAATTGTCAAATTTTTTGTAAACAGCTTCTTAAAATGTATTTGTGGACGAGTATTTGTTTTGTGCTGCAGGGATGGGGTGCGGCGTTGGGAGCGCTGGGTTTCGTGACCAGGTGGTGGGGCTGGGCTATCTGTGGGAGACATGGACAGAGGCAGAACAGGTAGTGGTGGTGTACTCCCTTATCAGGCGCCTCAGTCCAATCCCTGCAAGATTCCTCCTCAACGTGCTCACCCACACCACCGCGCCCGACGCCGCCGACCTTGCCCCTGCCGAGGCCACTGCCAATGACCCAGGTATGTTACCACATTTTTCTTATTTGACCTAAACAGTTTCATTTTTACCAAAGTACATAACACAAGACTGACTATTAAGGACACTTTGAGGATGTATTTTTAACTTTTACATTGACTTTATAACATTTGCTTCTACAACTGTTGATGTGTACTTCAAGTTTTGAGCTGTTTTTTTTTGCAATTTTTCCTTTTGTTCTTGTTTCAGTTAGTGTTTGTATGATCCCCTTTTGTTTTTGCTTTTTTTGCAATTTTGATTGAATTTTCTATTTTTTGCATGACCTGACTCCTCTGGATGCTCCCTTCTAACCTGGTGTAACTGATGACAAGGGCCATTGCCACACCAGCACTTAAAGCCTACATGATGACAGTCTTGTTTGACAAACAATAATTCAGACTTGAGCCAGTAACCCGAACCAGAACTTATTGCATATGTGATGACAGTTTTGTCAGACCAGCATTGAAAATTCAGACCTTGGCAAATTCTTCAAGTGGTGTGATAGACTGAATAAAGACTCTTGTAGACTGAGACTATCCATGACTCACCGTGACTGCAGCTTGACACTTGCTTCCATATTTACGGCAATGCAAGTAAGTAATCCTTATTTTTTCTATGTAATGTGAATAAACAACTTAAATGGCTGACACTAGTTGTACCTCACTGGATTTTGATCCTTGTCACCAAAGTTAAAGCAAAGTAGTTTTTGAGTCAGTTTATTTTACAGTTTAAGCTATTCATTAGTGATTATAAGATATATTAATTTTTACTCTGATATCTGTTGAAGTTTAAAATTGTTACAGTATATGTAACAGGGGTCAGACAGTTACAGCAGTGGTTTGGTATAGAATTTGTAACACTAGCATTTGTGTAACTCAGTTACCTGGTATATGTTTGTTTTTGTGGATTGGAAAAGATGAGTTGGGGACGCGTGAAAAACGTGTGTGCAGGCTGTGTAATTTTAGATTTTTAGTTTCAGATATTTACACGATGCAGTTTAGAAAAAGTAGCAGTAATATCACATATAGCGTCACTGTTTGTGAAATAAATTTGCAGAGAGGTTGAGTGTACTTATATTGGAGAGAAAGTATAAATAAAATTGATGGTGCTAACAGTGCAAACCCAGTGTTGTTACTTGGGTAAATGAATTACTGTACAAAGATTTTTGTGAGTATTAAAATTAGAAATGATAATATAGCAAATAAAGAAATAACAGTGAAATTAGTGTTAGCAATGTAAAACCAAACTAAGCCAGTGATACAATTAAATTAGAGAAGTGGCAGAAAATATTTGGAAACTAAATATAAATTACAGGGAGGGAATGCTCACTTCTGCCCAGGTCTAAGGCACAAATTGAATGAAGGCAACACACTCGAGATACCAAATGCTACTGAAAAATTTCACTTTAAAGGAACTCATTATAATGGCTTTTCGACTTAAGGAACAAAATCCAAACAAAGGATGAAATTCGGAAAAAGGGACAAAGTTTGTTTCCCTTTCTTTATTTCAAATCTGCAAAAAAAGTGTCTTAAGTTGTATTATTCTCTTGATTGAAATTAATAATACAATATAAAACATTCATTTGCAGATGTGAAAAAAGTGTGTGCCTTAATGTTGGTAGTTGAAGCTAATTTGATAAGTTGAAGTGAAATTTGATACATTTGCCCAAAATGAATGGTCAAGCTGTGAGTGCTGATAGAGAAAGGGCAGATAAGAATAATGTATGAGAAAATTTTGCTGGCTGCAATTTATGAGTGTAACTATATAGAGTGGATAGGTTAGCAATGTGGCAGATGTTGCAAGTACTATATGGAATAGGTGGTAAGTTACTAAACGCTGTAAAGAGTTTTTATAAGGATAGTGAGGCTCAGGTTAGGGTGTGTAGAAGAGAGGGAGACTACTTCCCTGTAAAAGTAGGTCTTAGACAGGGATGTGTACTGTCACCATGGTTGTTTAATATATTTATAGATGGGGTTGTAAAAGAAGTAAATGCTAGGGTGTTCGGGAGAGGGGTGAGATTAAATTATGGGGAATCAAATACAAAATGGGAATTGACACAGTTACTTTTTGATGATGATACTGTGCTTATGGGAGATTATAAAGAAAAATTGCAAAGGTTAGTGGATGAGTTTGGGAGTGTGTGTAAAGGTAGAAAGTTGAAAGTGAACATAGAAAAGAGTAAGGTGATGAGGGTATCAAATGGTTTAGATAAAGAAAAATTGGATATCAAATTGGGGAGGAGGAGTATGGAAGAAGTGAATGTTTTCAGATACTTGGGAGTTGATGTGTCGGCGGATGGATTTATGAAGGATGAGGTTAATCATAGAATTGATGAGGGAAAAAAGGTGAGTGGTGTGTTGAGGTATATGTGGAGTCAAAAAACGTTATATTTGGAGGCAAAGAAGGGAATGTATGAAAATATAGTAGTACCAACACTTTTATATGGGTGGGAAGCTTGGGTTGTGAATGCAGCAGCGAGGAGGCGGTTGGAGGCAGTGGAGATGTCCTGTCTAAGGGCAATGTGTGGTGTAAATATTATGCAGAAAATTTGGAGTGTGGAAATTAGGAGAAGGTGTGGAGTTAATAAAAGTATTAGTCAGAGGGCTGAAGAGGGGTTGTTGAGGTGGTTTGGTCATTTAGAGAGATTGGATCAAAGTAGAATGACATGGAGAGCATTTAAATCTGTAGGAGAAGGAAGGCGTGGTAGGGGTCGTCCTCGAAAAGGTTGGAAGGAAGGGGTAAGGGAGGTTTTGTGGGCGAGGGGCTTGGACTTCCAGCAGGCGTGCATGAGCATGTTCGATAGGAGTGAATGGAGACGATTGGTATTTGGGACCTGACGATCTGTTGGAGTGTGAGCAGGGTAATATTTAGTGAAGGGATTCAGGGAAACCGGTTATTTTTATATAGCCGGACTTGAGTCCTGGAAATGGGAAGTACAATGCCTGCACTCTAAAGGAGGGGTTTGGGATATTAGCAGTTTGGAGGGATATGTTGTGTATCTTTATACATTTATGCTTCTAAGCTGTTGTGTTCTGAGCACCTCTGCAAAAACAGTGATTATGTGTGAGTGAGGTGAAAGTGTTGAATGATGATGAAAGTATTTTCTTTTTGGGGATTTTCTTTCTTTTTTGGGTCACCCTGCTTCGGTGGGAGATGGCCGACTTGTTGAAAAAAAAAAAAAAAACTATATAGCTGAGCAGGTGTTAAGTGATGAAAACAAAAGATAGTATTTTGGAAGCAAAAGTAGTAAAAAACCTCTCAGTCATTATAATCATCATAATAATAATAATAATCTGTATTTCTACAAGTACAGCCTCTCCTCACTTAATGATGGAGCATGCTGTAATAGTAGTGGGTTTGTGTCAACCATCTTTGATATTGTTTTAATGTCACCTTTGCACTATTTATAACATTTCTGGTGTATTTTTAAATGTTTATACAGCAGTGTATTGTATATTGTAATAAACAGAATAGAGGAAATCAGCTCTACTATACATTGTTTAGGTATGCATACTGATCAGAACAATCATAAAACACATGAAAATATTGTACTAGTGCCAGCCCTTTGGTAAAGAAGGTGAGAAAGACTATATAATTCAAGAAAGAACTCATAGCAGAGTACCAAAGTGGAGGAGGAGGAGAGAGGGGAGAATGTACCTTCTTCAGTGATTCTACGATATGTATGATACTAAAGAAGAATTAGTCGATAAAGGCTATAGCGCCAGCCAGCGATAAAGTGTAGCAAGTAGGTTAAGTGATTAATTGATAGAAAAAGGACAGCACGAATCTAACTTCTCCAATGTTGTTGGAGGTATATAGGGCTATGTATTTAGATCACTGCTGCCTCTGGTGGCCTTACCACCAGTACAGTTTATGTCTCAGGGGCCCCTTTACATCCAACAACAAAACAATAACAACCACTCATTTTAATGTTATTATTAAAAATTTGAGGGGTTTTACTGTTTAATATTCTTATTATGTTATTAATATGTTTTTGTTATTAGGTCAATTGTGATAAATAAATAAGCGTAGAGTTTTGATTTTAGTGCTTTATTGAAGGCCTGAGTTTCCTCCCTTCCAAAAAGTTTTCCGCCCCACAATTCCAAACACCATAATGAATATTTTAAATAGATTGGGCGCTGGGCATCGCAAATTTTTCGAAGCCCGCGAAAATGGAATTTGCGTAGTGGAGGGAGACCTGTATGCCCCTAGTAAAGAGAGGTTGTACATGTACAAGTTACACCCCTGCTGTATCAATGACATCCTATACAGTGGTCCCCGCTTTTCTATTTCCCGGCAATAAAAAATTCGCCAATCTTAGGGGTTTTTTCGTATAAAATGGACTCGTTTTTATAGGTTGACTCGCGAGTCTTTAGTTCGCCGGGACGCGTACGCCGGCGGGGCCCCAGGGCGGCAGCCAGTCTGGCATTGTTTACCAGTGAGCAAAGGGCCCCCCGCGTCTCCAGCGAAATATTTCATAATATTCCTTTATTTTAGTGTTGCAAGTACTAAATAACTCCATGGCTCCAAAAAAAAGCTCCTAGTGCCAAGCCCTGTGGTAAAGAAGGTGAGAAATCGATTGAATTTAAAAAAAAACCATCTTGAAAATATAAAAAGTTGTAAAGTGTGGCCGAACTGTCCAGGATGTATAAAAACCCTAACAACCTTATGTTCCATAGGGGCCCAAGAAAAATGAAAAAAAGGATGGTTTTGCAAAGGGGTAACTATGCTGAAAAAAAAAGAGATCACAGTACTGGAAAGGGTTGAGAATTATTTTTGGGTTGGTAAATGAGAAAAAATTTTGCAGGAGAAAAATCTTATGACTTCGTTTTTTTTTGTGAAAAGGCTAGGCGTTGCATGAAGACTTGGTAAAGAAATTGCCTGCAAAATAGTTTTGAAGTGAGTGAATTTTTGGCCAGCAAGGCTGGTTTGGAGATTTAAGAAACCGTACGGATACACAGTGGGTAAGGGATGGGGAGGGTGCCAGTTCGGACCCAAGGCGGTG